AAATAAAAATAAAAAAGAGAACATACAAATACAATTTTGATTGGCCCATCTGCCAACTCTCCTGCTACAATGTGGACACATAAACATCAATATTTATGAACCATGTCTGTCTGTGAGATTCAAACGGACCCATCCTAGGTTGAGCCCATTGCAGTGAGGGCAATTTGTGGTACCCAAGGATATTAAACCATTGGTTCACACAGTGTCCACAGATGGGGAAAGCCCCGCAGCCTATCATAGCATACCGGCCACGCCGGTTGTTGCAAATTATACACTCCCAGTGGCGCTGATCCTCCGACAATTCTTCCTCCGTGTCAGATAAAACTATGTCGGGGCGTAAATTTAATGGTGGGTGATTAGGTCGAGCACTTTCACTGAAAACATTGTCCTGATGAGGTTGAGCAGGGAGGGATCTGCTCGATCGGCTCCCTCTGCCGCTGCTGGCAGTGGCTCCACGTCCCCGTCCTGCCAGACCGCCTCGGCCCCGGGTTCCACGACGGCGCCCCGCTCCACGGCGGCCCCTGCTTGAGGAAGGTCTGCCATTCTGGAAAATAAAGGAATTGAAGCCTTCTAGCCACATGGCTTGTTCATAGTTACCATAGTTTGCATAAAACAACCATAACTTACCTCATTATACCTTTCTCCCATCAAGTCTTCAAACAAGTCAGCAGCATCAAGGTCGTGTTGATCGGGGGCATCCTAAACAAGAAGAGAAATACTGAATGAAAAATTCCTCGTGCTAGCAACACAGACATTGTGAGAGAAAAACTTACATGAGATGGCATTTCTTCCACAGAAAGGTCGTTGATAGCACACCCTCTTTCCTGCAATAAAGCAGACAGCTGATTGAAAACACAAGATCAAGTATTTAACTCAAACTCCACTAGGATCTCAGGTAACATCATCGGTTTAGTTTAAGCTATAAATGTCCAAAACTCTTCAGCTAATGAAAAAGGTGAAGATCACCAACTCTAAATGGACAAATATACTAAATAAAAATTATATTGCTTTTGAAACAAAGATAATGTTATTTTCACAATCTTTTTCCCTACAAAGTCTGAATTTAGTACTGGATTTATTTTACTCTATTATTAGTAGGCAATGTGACAAAACTTAGTCAACAACCTTAGTCGGCCTGGCCAAACATGTGTAGAAGAGGAAACAAATTGAACTCACCTGACTTAAACGGATGTTATCTGGAAGTTCTCGAGGTGCACCCCTTAAGGGAGAAGGGGGCCGGTCCTCTTCCCTGTCTCTTAACATGTCCTGCATTGACGCATCCAGGTGCCAAGACACAGTAGAAAGGAAATGCAGCATGTCCATTTCACGATTCATAATCTGCCGGCTGCAAGACCTTATTCGCGCATCGCTCAGGAGACTTGATACCCTTCTGGCTCTGCTTGGTGCTAGTCCTATTTCCAAGCGGCCCAAGTCTCTCCAAGCGATGTCCTCCATCTCGCGAAGCATTTCTGATACACAAAGGCATAACATTTATTAAAAAGTACGTTTGAAAGATGGGTCAAAAACATCTGCTTTTCTTTAAAATGTATTTAATCTAATGAGGCATTTTATTGGTATAAAGAAGATCAGGAAGAACAAGGCAGATCATCACAAGACTTCAATTATTTTTCGGAAATTGTCTGCTAGAACAATTGAAAAGCAGTAGATTTCCGAAAACAGTTGAAGGCTTGTGATGATCTGACTTGTTCCTGCTAATTTATTTATACCAATAAAATGCCTAATTACCAATGAACCGCCACACATTTGGCCTTCGGACAACCCTGGAATTAAGGTTTCGGTGATGAGCTTCAGCTACGTTGTTGGTCCTATGACGAACACCAAATACGCACAGGGTTCGCTCCCCGATGCCTTCTAGCCAAGTGACCCGAAGGTAATTGAAGAGGTCATTGAACTCTTCTTGAAGATTAAGTCTGCGTGCCTCAATAACAACAGCATTTAAGGCATCAAAGAGGCGACCTGGAGGAGCCAGGGGAATGCCTAAACATAATCGGACCACTCTTCTTGCGTTCTCACGGTCTCTCACTAATTCATGCAGCCCTAAAGATCTAACATTCCGGCAAACAGCACGGGCAAAATGCCACAGGCATCCCGAAAGCGTAACACGGGGAATTATTTCAAGAATGGCGTTAAGTTGGGCCATTTCAAAATCTGACATGAAAAAGTCGGGATCCATTTTAGGGACTACACGCCTGATAAAGGTAAAGAGATCTCGATAGGCTATCTCACTTCGAGACTCCATCAAAGCATAGGCAAGGGGAAGTATCTAAGGAAATGCAATAGAGATAAAGATTAGTTGATTGAGACTTCTAATCTAAAAGGTACACAAAATGACAGGAAAAATAAAACTTACATGGTTGTCGCGCACAGTTACAAGAGTGTACAGTTGCATTGAGTCAGGCTGGTTTGGGCGTGCATAATATGTGGCATCACCAAACAGATGCCTTACTTCGCCTGCTCCAGTGACAACTCTTCTGCTCAAAAAAAGCAATGACCGATGCCCATACCCGCCTGTCATTCCCTGGTACATGTCGCATTCACCATCCAAGCTGGTACAAAGATCACGGGTATTCCTCAAAAGATTGTCGAATTCTTCGAATGAATGGGGTATGTTCGGCCTGTTTTCAGACTGAGTTCTGATCATGGAGGGCCGAATTGAAAGCAAACTGACACGGCTTGATACATCACGAGGTACACTACAAATAAATAAAGATATCATGAAATTGTTTCAAGTAAGATGGGAAAGTGCACAGAAACAATGCTACAATGAAACTTACTTCCGGCTCACATCATGATAAATCAAGTCCACCCTCACACTCGGCCTCACTCTACAGGCTTGAATCAAACTGCTCCTAAACGCTTGGACTTGCTCCTGCAGCTCATCTGGCCCATGATTGTGTTGAGCGTGAGTAACAGTGAATCCGGAAAAATCTTCATTCATAACAGCTCTAGCAGGGCACGACGGGTTGCTACGGTAGAGCACACACCTCAGAAATACTCTTCCAGAGCCAACCCTTTGCCGGTGGAAATAAAACCCGTCTCCAACATGATACCGCCAGGAGCCAGGTCTAAGACCAGGGACCTGCAGCGCCACAGGATGAGCCTGCTGTAACAATTAAAGACAAAAGTCTTCATGTGTCAAACCACTTCCCACCTCTACAGCCAAACATGCCCACAAATTTCATTAAGTTACCTCAAGTTCATTGTCAAATCCATTGGAGGATGCACAGGGTTCAGTCTGAGGGCAAAAAAGAGCTTATTCATGTTTTCATCATTACATATCACTGATGAGCCAACATAAGCACGTAAGTCCACATTTTACTCATTTCAGGTTTTTGTTAGCAGTAAATTCTACAAACTGAGACGCATCTTTCTGTGTAAGCGGATTTAAAATATCTTAATAAACGGCAGAGATACAAAGCAGTACCAAACAGCGAAAGTCCACCCTTGAGCCAACAAAGGAACGAATGTCCACATGTGAGCAAACCAAAACAACGAATGTCCACATGTGAGCAAACCAAAACAACGAAAGTCCAGATATTTGCAAATCAAAACAGCGAAAGTCCAACACGGGCTGACATAACAGCGAAAGTCCGCAAAATTATTGGACTTTCGCTCTTATGTTAGCTCACACATGGACTTTCGTTCTTTTGTTAGACCAGACTTGGACATTTGCTTTTTTGATAGCCCAGAACTAGACTGTTGTGTTTTTTTCACCTAAGCACCTATTAAAATACATCTCTACCATCAATATTTAAAATTTCACACTGTGTTCCCATATTTGTTATTTCATCATGGATATTTTTAAGATAACTTACTTGACAGGCTCCTTGAGAAACAGAACGGTTGTACTTTTCTTGAACAAGATTTTTCCACAAGAATAGCTCCAGCACCATATGTGCATCAAAGCAAAATAGTCATAGATATAGGTTAATGACAACAACACAAATGTCCACTCAGCTTTGAGATAAACATAGTCACATAATGGATCAACCACAAATATGAGTGCCAATAACTCTGGAAACATAATAATTGGTAGTGTTGGCTCGAAATAGATATATGCTAAGACAAAATCACATGAAAACAGTAGAACAGTCTCGATTTGCCGGGATAGGTCCAGTCACAACAACAATAACCGCAACCGCACCACCGAGAGTGTTTCCAGATTTGTTTCGTCTTCGGTTCGTTTATTCGCAGTTTGCGCCGAGCCGCTCTGCCCCTCTCCCCTCCACCATCCCTTCCCCCCCCC